GAGAGGTGCCCTGGCCGGCGGCTCCCGCTGCTGTGCTCAGAGTCGAGGGGCTCTTGGTTCCTTCAAGTGAATGCACAGCCGTGCTCACTGTGGGTACAGTTTTAAACTTCATCACCCAGTAACTTAAGAAGTCCTTGAAAATCGAGTTATGACCAGTTTTTCAGTATTCCAAAATCACACAAGCATCTGAACTCTTTGCGAAGGTAGAATGGGGGTTCCACCTTTGAAAAGGTATGGGGAGGGGTTTTGTGGGTTGGACTTAGATCATCTTTGGACCTCGCTGGAACCCAGGGCTTCTGTAACACGATCCCGGTCTGTGAGTTCAGTGGCCTTGTGGTGAATCAGTTCAACAGAACGGCAAAGGGTCCAGGGAGGAAAACCTCCTTCTGATTAGAAGCGGACTTGCACCTGGCGGTTATGTTCAGGCCATGGGTGTGATTGGCGTTTCCTTTGTGTCTCAGCACTGGGAAGAGTTAGAAGGAGCAAGTCTTTCTTTGTAGAGTCCTTCTGTGGCGACCAAGAGCCCGTTTGCCATTGCAAGACCAAAGCAGGTGCCCGTCACCTGCCAAGGCTCTGGCGCAGCAGTGCCAGGGAGCACGGCAGAGCCCGGTTACAGGACTCTGGCCCTAAAGAGAAGGCTTTGCGTGAAGTGGAGATCATCTTCTACTCAGCACCGAGAGATAGAACCGGGCGTTAAAGAGGATTAGGAACCTTTAAGTTTTCAAGAAGGTACTTGACTGTTCTTAGGTGTTTGTGATTCTTTAAGTATCACTCTCATTTCCTGGTTCTTAACCTGGGGCCTGTGCACTTGTAGTCCGAAGGGCTGTGAAAAGTCTTCAGCAACCCTGGGAATTGTGCACACTATTGTGGGTGAGTCATTTTTGGAGGGAACCCCAGCTCTTCACAAAGGTCCCTGTCACCCTGCCAAGGATAAGAACCGTTGCCCTAAGTTACGTGCTATTCTGAACGTAATGAGAACATGGAAACCAGTTGAACTATTTAGTTTTGTAGAAAAACATGTAACTGTTGTGTGTTGCTCTGTATTCAGACGTGTCTTCTTCTCGGGGCAGGAGGCCTTACCCAAGAGTCCCAGCTTCGCTTTTCTACTCCCTGGGCCTCTAGGAAGACAGAGGCCCCGTCCTGCAGCCCTGCAGCTGCCGTGACCTGTGGGGAGATGATCTAGACGGCTCACTGAAGTTGGGGCGGGGGCTCAGAGCTACAGGGGGTTGGCGACATCTTCGTTTAAGACAGTAGGAGCCCCAGCTCCCCAAGAGCCAAGTGGGACCGTTCGGCATCCCTATTTGTGCAACGTGGTGGATAGTCAAGAGGTTTGTGTGACTGTGGGTGTCAGATGTCCCTGGCATGACTTTGTCCCTTCGGACATGCTGAGAATAGCTGGAACTGCTTTGCTTTTCAGATCAGCTGCGAGATGATGGAGAAAATCCCAGTACTGAGGCGGCTCCGGGAGCGAGAGAGGCAGGCTGGGAAGGATGTCGCCCTCCAGGATGAGCCCCGGCACCCCAGCGGCCACCAGAAAGCTCCTCCAGGCACTGTCACAAGTCCCCAGGACGTGCCGGGGCTAGAAGATTCCGTGGGAGCAGCCCGTGGCTCCCCGCAGGGGGAAGGCGCCCCACTTGCGGCCGATGTCTACGTGGGGAACCTGCCCCGGGACGCCCGCGTGAGTGACCTGAAGAGGGCGCTCCGAGAGCTCGGCGCGGCGCCCCTGCGGCTCACCTGGCAGGGGCCGCGGCGCAGGGCCTTCCTCCATTACCAGGACCCCGCCTCGGCTCAGCAGGCCCTCTCCTGCTTGCAGGGCCTGCGCCTGGGCCCCGACAGCTTGAGGGTGGCACTGGCCAGGCAGCAGAGGGACAAGTGACCTGGGGGATGGCTGGGGGTGCAGAGCCTCGCTGCACAGACACGCCCTCACCGTCGCCCCCGTGTGGTGTGGGGCAGCCCGGGGCCCTGGCTCCTGTGGAACGGGAGGCCTGCGCGGCAGGGCGCGGCAGGACAGCTGCTGTGGGGCTGCTCGGTCTCAGGACTTCCAGGAGGTCACAGCACAGTCACCTGCGCGCAGGGGCAGCTGGCCTCCGTCCACGCTGTGATGCTCAGGAGGCCGCACAGCCCGACTGAGTCAGGTTCTGGTTTGTCCGTCCGTCTGTGTCTCTGGAGGGACAGAGCAGTCCGGAGGGCTCGAGGGGCCGAGTGAGCAGTGAGCAAGCGGCGGTGGATGGGTGATGGGAATTTCGGATCTGAGAGGAAGGGGTTAAGAGGAGAAGATGGGTGAGGGATCCTGCCCGAGAGAAGCCCTGGCAGCAACCGCCGCAGGGCACAGAAAAGCGCCTTCTGCTCCAGGACCCTCGGCTGGCTGGAGCGGAGAGCCACGCTCCAAATCGCGAAAGCCCAAGTCGTGCAGTCCCTGGGTGCAAGGTGTCATCGCGGCCCAGTCTCAGTGTTACTCAGTGGGGACCCATGAGGCCTTCCCGCTGCCCTGTGTACCTCCCCTGCCCCCGCCCCCGCCCCGGGGCGAGCACCAGCTCCGGCCAGGCAGATGCTTTGTCTCGGGAGACCGGCTCTGGAATGAATTTCGTCCCAGCCACGTCATGTGCAAATGCGCCCAGGCTCACATCTGCCCAGCGCTGCCTGTGTTCCGGGCTTTTCCCTCCGGTTCTCCGTTTCTAGAGGCCAGCTGGGCTTTGGCTGAACTGCCCTTTCTCAACAGAAGTGCTTTTGCAGTCGGTCCTGGGCAAAAAGTCAAAATAAGCATTTAAGTGGAGATTTTACTTTTTTCTAATGTATATGTGTTGGAAATTTTTTTTATTTTTTAGCCAGAGGGTTTCACTGAGTGTATTTTAAGCACACCACCGTGCCCCGAGAGGGCAGGCCTTGCGTGCACTTTAAAGAGAATGTTCTCAGGACTCTGTCTTCTCTTTGAAAGGGCATTTTCTCGTTGGCCTTACAGTGAGAACACTATGGAGACTTCAGGAAGAAAATCTGTCCTTAGACACATGTGCTTATTAAATGCAGACTTCTTTGCCCACGTGTCATGAATGAAACAAGGGGGTAGGAACGTTTTCCATGCCACAGCCTGGCCCCCGGCCCCTGGGCTCTCCCCTCTGCCCGACGGCCCGCCCCTCCTGCGCGGCAGGGTCTCGCGTCACATGGTGCTCAGCTCGCAGCCGAGCGGCACCTGGTCACGCTCACCGCCTCACCCTGCTTGTCCTGTTTTTTTTCATCTGGTATTGGAAAGGTTCTCGTTTGTCCTTTATTTGCTTTCTGGCCGTCCTCTTGCCACCATGAGGCTGGCAGCTGCAGAACAGCTGGAGCAGCTCCTGGCAGACGGGGAGCGACTCAGTAATAGTTCTGTCCTTTGTGCGAAGGGACCCATCGGAGCCAAGGGACGGAGGAACTGGATCCTGATCCCACCGTTCGAGCTCCTGAATCCAACTGTGCCTGATGCAAGCTCCGCCCTCCAACGCCGGGGTCACTCACACAAGTCAGTAGATGATCGCTCTTGGGCAGCTGGGCTGCTTGGGCTTTCTCCCACTTGCAGCCAGAATAATCCGGGTATATTGACATACAGGTAGGCCGAAATGGTTTATCATTTTTACATTTGTGGAAAATAAGACAAACTAAAGGCCAAGTATCTGAAAGATAAAGGCCGAGAACGTATCAGCCTGCGTGCCTTTTACCTGCCTGGCCCGGCCCGGGCAGGCCTGTGAGGGCCGGTGCTCCAGGCTGTATCATCCCACCGTATCATCCCACGGTGGCAGGCCTGCAGCTGCACCGTTTCCAGAAACTCTCCTTGAGCTCGGCAGGAGCGAGTGAGCGCCGGACTCTGCGGCCCAGAAGCGCGGGCTTCCCTGTGCGCTCTGCTCCCAGGCGCGTACGGTGGGCAAGTCACGGGCCTCTCCGGGTTTGGCTTCCTCGCCTTTAGAATGAAAGGTTGAGCTCGTTAGTTCCTCAAGTCCTTACCAGTTCTAATATTCTGTGTTTCTTTCAAGGCTAACTGGTCGCCGTCACTTAGAGTTTTTCGTTTGTTCATAAAAGCAGTCATTCATTGTAGACATTTTAGAGCATGAGAAGTGTCACAAAGGGCAGCACTTGGGCAACCTTGACGTTGCCCCTTACTTATCCCAGCCTCTCTTCCCATGCAGCTTGAAAACATAGCTGGGATTAGCAACCTGAGCTCAGAATCCAACAGACCTGGCTGTTGGCATCGGTCCTGCCACTGCTTGGTACCGTGAGCGGCGTGATGCAGCAGCTGGCTCACCTCCCAGAACTTGCATTTGCTCGTCCACAAATGGGCATGGTAGCAGCCCGCTCCCCGAGGTCTGGGGGGGCTGGCTGGAAGAGCTCGGCCCGCAGGTGGCAAGTGCTCAGGAGTGCGCTCCCTGCTGCGGCCGGTTGGCCCGGCCAGCACAGCCGCCACCACCCACCCCTCAGAAGGAGGAGCAGCTCTCCAAGGGGGGGCACCCCCAGGACTAGCGCAGGGTTCCCGTCGGACGTCCCTGCACCAGGGGTGGGTCCTGGGGCAGATCAGTGGTGGCAGTGGCTCTGGAGCCAGTTCCCAGGTGACAAGGCTGTCACGGGTGCCAGGGGCTGGTGAAAGAGGGCAGGGGCACCGTGGCACTGGGCGAGCTCGCGAACAAGCTGACGGAGGGAGGTTCCTTCGGGCGCGGCAGCCGCTCCTGCTCCGGAGAGGAGGCCGGGTGCCTCTGGCCCAGCTCGCTGGCTCCACCCGACGGGGGGAGGCCCCTTGAGTGCCGAGCTCCTGCCTGGGTGGCCCGCAGATGACCAGGTCATGGGACTGGGAACAGCCCTCCAGGGTGAGATCTGAGAGTCTGCGGCCACACACAGGTGAGGAAGCGGGAGCCCCCTTGCCCGGTTTCCGGGAAGACGTGAACTCTGAATACAATGGAATACACAGAAGACGGGGTCAACCTGGGGCCTTTAAAAGACGGTCTCCAAGTGAAAGAACCTGCCCTCTGAGATGTGACGGACGTCTAGGAAAAAGATTCACTGCGGAAAACAACATCTGCTCCTTCCTCCTGAGAGATTTGAGAAAAGTTCACAGGAAAGAAAAAGTTGTGTCGGCTGGGCGCGGCGGCTCACGCCTGTCATCCTAGCACTCTGAGGGGCCCAGGCGGGAGGATTGCTCCAGGTCAGGAGTTCGAAACCAGCCTGAGCAAGAGCAAGAGCAAGACCCCGTCTCTACTATAAATAGAAAGAAATTAATTGGCCAACTAATATATATAGAAAAAATTAGCCAGGCGTGGTGGCGCATGCCTGTAGTGCCAGCCATTCAGGAGACTGAGGCAGGAGGATCGCTTGAGCCCAGGAGTCTGAGGTTGCTGTGAGCTAGGCTGACGCCACGGCACTCACTCTAGCCTGGGCAACAAAGCAAGACTCTGTCTCAAAAAAGAAAAAGAAAAAGTTGTGTCAATGAAAAAGTTGTAGAAAAAAAAGACTTAAAAAAAAAATGAAAATGTGTCATCTTTTGCCCGTGTCTGTTCTAATCTTAAACTATGCAGGACAACATGAGATCTAAACATAAAAGCCCTGTGGGGTAGGTCAGCATCCTAAAAAGAGAACTTGCTGAAAGTTAGCAGAAATAAAAAGCTGAGCAGGATGGGTAACGGTATTTTTTAAATAAAAACACATAATTATAACGTCGGAATTCGTATTGGAAGATGTGGCGCGGAGGAGAGACGAGAGCATCCTTCCGCAGGGCGCCGGCCGTGGGGAGCCGCCGCTGACCCCTGGTGCGGGCGGCAAGGCCACGCTGCACCCCGACACCGCAGCAGCAGGGCTTGCTGGGCCGCGGGAGGAGCGCCCACGCCAGGGCCTCTCTGCACACCTTCTGCAGGACCCTCACCTGGGAGAGGAGCTTCCCCAGCCCCGGCCAGTCTGGGCCTCCCCTGCAGATGTGAGCAGACCACGAAGAATTGCCGAGCACTTGAGGAAATCAGTGTCCTGCCATGTCTGTCCCTCCTGGAAATGTTGGCGCAGCAATCAGAAAGCCATTAGAAGGCCATCGTGCCCATTAAAAAAAAAAAAGAGAATGGGCTGGTAAGAAAAAAACTCTTAGACATTGAAAGCATCGTGCAATAGAAGACGAAGGCACAACAGACACAGACACTACAGTGAGTGGGAAGAGGAAGCCTCGTGGCTTCCGGAAACCCGTGCAGGGCTACGGAGGAAGGGAAGGAACAGGGAGGGACATGATCACGTTCAAAGTCGGCTTCAGCTGAAGAAAGATTTGATTTAATAGTGGAAAACTCCACGGAGCGCCAAGCGAGATACTCACACAGCCCCGTCCCTCTCCCGCACGGCGTCCACAGCTCCTTAGAAAGCTGCGTGTAATGCGGTTGCCACACAAGCTGGTGAGTGCTCGGGAAGACGCCTGATGGGGCCGTTCAGGGCTCGCACGGATGAAGCCATGAAACGTCCCTGAAGTTATCTGAATAAAGACGCACGTTGTGTTCCGGACGGGAGGGTTTGATGTTAGGAAGATACTACTCCCCCTGCACCAGGGCGCCCCGGACCTGGCAGGCAGAATCCCAACTGCTGTTTCTCTCGGGGGCCGGTGAGGTGGACAGTAACTGCCCAGCAGTAGCCGGCAAGGAAGAGGGCTTGCGCTCAGGTGCCGAGACTCACTCTGCAGCTTCGGCACGTCAGGCGGTAACGCAGAACGGGAGAGAACGTCCCCAAGGGGTGGGGCCCGGGCACGAGAGGGGACTCAGAGGGGGCGGGTTTGCTTCTCAAGAGGTGGACGGAGAGCTGCCGGCTGCTGTTTGGAAGGGTGAGAGGAGCGGCTCGGATCTCCGAATCCGGCCAAGCATAAAAATAAATTCCAGGCTAGTTAGATATCCAAACATGAAAGGAGGCTTTGGCGATAGCAGGGTGCTGTGTGATGCTGGTACAGGAAGGGGGTTCACAGGCGAGACCTCGCACTCGAGGAGGAATTTCTTCCTTCCCCCCCGTGGGGCGTCAGGTTCGGGTCGGGATGGAATCCAGATGAGCCCGCCAAGACGAGCTATCTGAGGAATACTTCTCCGAGTAGCAACATCGACCGGACCGTTTTGTGTAGTTATGTAGTAATATCCTTTCCAACGCTGCCAGGTGCAACAAATAA